CTGCCATGGCTTGAAGACAAAAGAACTCAAGCCCTTCATAATTAAATCTTTTAAACAAACTGAATTCTTGGAATTCAATCGATACGTGAACGAATAAGACTTAATCAAAATAATACCCAATGGAGCATAACTGTAAAAATGACGTGAATAGTAAATAATTCATGCAATAACAAATTTAAATCTCACACATGCATACACGTACAATTCCATAGTCCGGCATATAAAATAGATTTTATATGTTATCAAGCCACTTAGTCAAGTCATGTAAATTTCTTATCAAAATATAAAATTCACAAAAATGGATTCATCTTAAGATTGTTGGGAAATATACCGATTATGTGCATATTATATTCACAAAAAATATACCGTTTATGTTCACGAAATCGAAACAAGGTTTCGACCTACCGAAATGGAGTTTGAGAAACTAATCAATGATTATTGAATATGATCATTTCCATTCTTGAATTAAAACATATGATTTTTCATATCAAACCTTGTATAAACCATATAAATGAAATTAATCATTTTCTAAAATCAAGTAGAAATGAAATTAGAAAAAATTAAATGTAAGTGATGCGATTGGCCGAGGCGAGTATAACTATTTCCTGAAGATGAATTTGCCTCACATCGATACTAACGATTTTTCGACAATCATCTCCCAAGATACAACAACCACGTCAAGCCATAGAAGCACTCCAAATGACTTCGACCAGCGAACTCGAACGAAATTCCCTCTCTACCAAGGGAATGCATGAAAATGCTATGGAATTAGAAAGGAGAGAATTGCAAGAGGAGAATGAATGCTCAATACAATTGGTGTACCCAAAACCATGTCCATAGTGTTCTATTTATAGATATAGAAAGGTTGCAAATGAAGTAGTGTGGGCCAAAACATGTATCCTTTCAAAAAGTTGCAACACTTGGCCAAAACCTGCATCTTTTCAAAAAGTTGCAACACTTCATTTCTTCCAACTTTGGTCCGCAATTTCTCATTCATCCGGAATTGTTTTCGAGATTCCAAATATACCACGACGATCTATTCGACGAGTAGAATAAGTTGGTCTATTTACTTTTGTAATTTGACCATCAGATCAAATCCGAATATTTGGTCGAAGTTGACACGTAATCACACCTTTTCATTTTCCACTTTTACACACCTTTTCATTTTCCAACTTTCTCTTAAATATTTGAACCAATTCCTACACAAACATACCCTTATTATTATTTCTTGAAGGTTCAAAAGATAGTTTACAAATCCGATCAAATCCGACTATTTGGTCGAAGTTGACGCGTAATCACACCTTTTCATTTTCCACTTTTACACACCTTTTCATTTTCCAACTTTTGATTAATTATTTGAACCAATTCCTACACAAACATACCCTTATTATTATTTCTTGAGGGTCCAAAAGATAGTTTACAAATTTACTTTTTGTTGGTGCAAAAGTTGGTTTGCATGTGCACCATAATGTCCTATTTGGAGTTGAAAGATTCCCAATGGTGCCTTTTCTATCATTTTCTCTTGCCAATTCACAAGTACAATTGTTTTGATCAATTTGTTGACAAAAATTTTGGGATTTATATTTTATTGCTTGTGAAAGTAAAATGAAAAAGTATCTTGCCAGAGTAAATCAATATATAAGTGTGACAATTGTTACAAAAATAAAACTCAACAATTAATTAGAAATTCAAGAAAGATGTTTAATCCCCTAAAAAAAAGATGTTCGATATGTTCGATTTAATATTGGTGCACAAGATTAAGATAGAAAAAGAAATCAAACCACCGATTTGAACTATATCACCGATCCAAAAGCAACATTGATTGTTTAAACAAATCTTAAGGAAATTCAAGAGGGATGTCCATCATATGGTAAGATACCGCGAAGTGGTTATGAAAATAGATAAATTAATGGGTAGAACGACAAATAATATTTCGATGTTCTGGCATTGCTACTTGAGTTAGAGCCTCGATATCCAATTTATAAACTTTCCAGTGCCTTTCCTCCTGCTTGTTCCAATATTTACTTACCATCAGTTTCATTTTCACATTCGCACCTTGTTATTTAGAAGAACTGTTTTGTTAGCTCTCAGTGAGAGTGTGTTGCAACTTGTATTTGATAAGTTAGTTTGTATGGCTCTGTAATTTATGTTCCCTTGTCAGTGCCATGCATATCTCAGATGATTGGAGGTTTCTTCCTTCAATTTGACTTATTTTTTTATAAATAGTTTTAGATATATTATATCCTCTCATCAATGGGAATCATTTATGCAGGCTGGGTTGAGCACATGTCACTGGATAATGTAATAGCATTTTTTAAATTTGAGTTGTATATTCGGTTCCATTAATATTACTGGGTGTCCATATTCGTTTCTAGAAGAGCTTGAGTGAATCTTTTCTTAGTGAACTATTGTTCAATCTGACCTTAACATGTGCTATAATCTCAATTTCTTGTTTATTTTTTGCATTGGATACTCATGTTTGAAAGTATAAATATCTTCTTATGCAGGGCTATTGCAGCAGGTGTTTTAGATGTGGATGGTTTTGGTCTTTAGACTTTGCAGCATGTAATGAGAATGATGATGGAAAATGTTGTTCAAAATCAATAAAATCGGGTGTGGAATGTAAATTGGAATTGGAAGCCAAGAACTTGGCCTATGTGGTCGTTTAGGCCACAAGGGCGTGCGGTCGCATAGGCTCATGCAAGGCCTTTTAGGCCCTGCAGCGGACTGATCTATGCGGTTGCAAAGATTTGTTCTATGCAACCGTATAAAGTTGGAAAATAGCAGTTGAGGGCCGTTTTTCAATTTTATTTCTGATGACTTTCGGAGAGTATTTTGCAACTCTTCATCACGTTTTGACACCAATTCGTGAGGTATTGATCAAGGCCTATAGATAAGTGATGAGATGATCAATACATTACATTTTACAAACAATTGAGAAATATTACTTGATTCCAGAAAAGGATCAAAACTTCTTTTCTTCCATATTCATATGATTTCCCTCCTCGTGCTCTTATAGTTTTGGGGAATTACACCAATGTTTAAGTGTTAAATTCTCTACAAGGCTTGATTAATCCTTCAAATCATTTGCAAAGAACCCTTTAAGCACCGAAATTGTATCCGAGAGTGGACAAATATCATTCGAGGACAACGATATCGTGTTCGAGCCTTCATCATCATTTTCATCTACTTGATATATTTTCTAACTTGTTTCTTCTCCATTTCCCTTGGTTGTGAAATATTTCCAACAAATAACTCGGTCATGGGATTCGACAATGTCAATGATACCAAAGTGCAATGCAGAGAAGCCGAGGAACAACAATAGGGAGACAGCAGGAAGGGAATTTGGCCTCTGCAACTCGCGTTAAATATGGAAGAATGCTAGCATTTGGGAAGGGTGTAGCTGACTTGCATTCTTCAGAGATTGAGAGAGTTGATATTAGGGTAATGTTTCAACTACCATCTCCTTAAATCTTTGAGAGAAGCTGTTTACCTTCAACTGAAAGGCAAGAGCTACTTTTTAACATTTTTAGCAAGTTAAAAAGTAGGTTATTTTAAAGTTTGGAGTCCATCTTAATAAGATCAACCTTATTAAATGGAGAAGTCCAATCCTTTATAAATTGGTATTTATTTCCATCATCATTTGATGTGAGATATAATACCATAACAGGCCCCCTCAAGATGGTGGCTCACTTGATCACACCAATCTTGAAATTCATGGGTTGGCTCTGATAACATTTTAAAGTTTGGAGTCCATCTTAATAAGATCAACCTTATTTTATAAATTGGTATTTATTTCCATCATCATTTGATGTGGGATATAATACCTTAACAGGTTATCTGAGCATATTTGAAAACAGACTTTCACTCATTTTAAGCTTCGCTTATGGCATTGTTCTACTTTGGTCACCGGTCATTTTTTTTATTATTTTTTTTCCACTTAACTTTTGTTTTAGGATTCGTTTGATTGCAAAGATGAAATTGAATTGTCTAGAAAACGAATTCCAGATAATTGAATTATCTAGAATTGTTTTCCTGAAAATTGTAAATTATTGTGTTTGATTGATATAATTTTTCACATGGAAAATGTTGAAATAAAAGTGTTTTTTGGTGTTCGTTTGATTTTATTTTACATGAAAATCGTCAATTAAAGAGATATATTTTACTGGTATTGAGGATTAAATGTGTTTCCATTGCCAAAAAAAAAAATCCAAGAAAATCATCTATCTTTTGATATTCATTTGATTTTGTTTTACATAAAAATTGTCAATTAAAAAAAATATTTTTTTACTATAATTCTTATAATTTGTTTCTATTGCAAAATAATAATAATATAGATACAGTGACCGGAATTGGAATTCTCACCATATTGGTGAAAATTTCAATTCAAGGAAAATGTGGAATTCAGCTTAGATGCCAAATGAAGTGGAAAATGAAAAACCAATTTCCCACCATATATGGTGGGAATTGGTTTTCCTTAAAAATCAAGAAAATTCCAAACTTCAAGACAACCAAAAATTCAAATTCCATGGAAAAAAAAAATTGTATCAAACACATAAAGTTGAAAAATTCAATTCCAATTTCATTTCCACCCTATCAAACACACCCTTAAAGACTAGATAACAATATTGATATGCCTATAAGTTGCATCTATGGCCTTGAGATACAATTTCAATTCATAAGACTCAGAACTAGTTTGTGTTGATGATACACTTGCTCTTGGTGGTAGTCGAATAAAACATTTGTTTCCGTTAATGCAGATTCCATCCTGAAGAAACTCAGCAAATTGGATGGCCTGCTATAGTTCTTGATGATAAAAGTTGTAAACCGAGTTTGAGAAAAAAAATAAATTTTAAAAATTGGAACCAAAGAGGGACTTTATGAAGGAGAAAATATTCTAAAAGTTTGTCTCGTGCATATGAAAGAAAATGAACAAAACACCTTTTTTTTCTGCATGCAATCCTTTGTGATAAAACCATCCTATATACTTGAGAAAAAAATTTAAACAAGAAAAACACAAAACTACGTTCAATTGAATCAAGAGTCCCTTGTTCGACTTACAGCCAATTCCAACAGTTCGAAACCCAGTTTTGTCACATTGTCTATTACCCAATTTCCCAAATAAGACCGTCTAACTAGTGCAAAATACAATCTGACAGACAGACAGCGCAGTCTTAGTGCAATCTGATGGTTTCATTTGGGAAGATGACATTTGGATTTCGAATATGAGGATTAAGGGCAGCAAGTTCTTTCCATTTAGCCCCGTTTCCATGAACACGAGATGAGATGCTCCACAAGGTATCGCCAGGATTTGCTGTAGTTGTCACTGGGGAAGAAGAAGAAGAGGAAGCTGGTGCAGAAGATTTAGCAACAGCCTTTGACTTCATTAAGGGATGCTTATTCTTCTTTCCCATTCCATTCGCGAGCAACCAACGGGAACCGGACTGTTGTTGATTAGATGAACCCCATAACTTCTTTTTTCCTGGCTCGGCTTTAAGACCTGCAACATGAACCTCAGTGACTTTGTACTGAGGAACGAGTTCTTCTTCGAGGATTTTGTCTTCTTCAGGCTCATCAACTATGCCTTCAATTTTAGAAGTCTCGGGCTCTTCTTCTTGATCTTCTTCATCGCAGTTTCTTAATTTCGGAATCGTATGGTAGATTTTAGGTTTTGGCGCAACCAACACTCTCTCAACTTGAATAAGAGCCAGCATTGGAGTACCAACTGGCTCATAGTTCCTTAAAGGATCACGCAATTGTACCATTAGTGCGACAGTGAAGTTGTTACCCAACAAACCAAACTTTCTAACCTTTCCCCGTCTCTTCTCCCCCTTAGATCTTCCACGAAACAACTCTAAAGAAGTAGCATGATGGGCTGCTAGTATTTCAGAAGTTCGCTCACTGATGAGATCTCCATCATCAATTTCACCAGAATCCAGCTTCATCCACTCATCAAGTGTTAAAGACAGACCCATCAATCCATTGATATCTTCACCATTGTCTTTAACATCCAGAAGTTGCAGTCCACCAGTGCCATCGAGACCAATGGAGCCACTGACATTGACTGTATTTCCCTTGAGGGCTGAAAATTCACCAATGTTTTGTGGGCTGATGTTTGAAGGTGCATCCTTAAAGGATCACGCAATTGTACCATTAGTGCGACAGTGAAGTTGTTACCCAACAAACCAAACTTTCTAACCTTTCCCCGTCTCTTCTCCCCCTTAGATCTTCCACGAAACAACTCTAAAGAAGTAGCATGATGGGCTGCTAATATTTTAGAAGTTTGCTCACTGATGAGATCTCCATCATTAATTTCACCAGAATCCAGCTTCATCCACTCATCAAGTGTTAAAGACAGACCCATCAATCCATTGATATCTTCACCATTGTCTTTAACATCCAGAAGTTGCAGTCCACCAGTGCCATCGAGACCAATGGAGCCACTGACATTGACTGTATTTCCCTTGAGGGCTGAAAATTCACCAATGTTTTGTGGGCTGATGTTTGAAGGTGCATCCTCATTCGACATGCCAGACTGTATTCTCAAACCCTCAATTGAAAGAGCTTCTATCTTATCCATCGCCGAAGGAGCAAGATCTTCTAAGGGTACATATTCAGCATCACTGCCAATTGAATTTGATTCGACCTTATGTGATCTGGCAGTTTCTTTTACTCTCTTTTGCTCACCAGACACATTTTGCATAATTTCATTTTCATGCTGCAAGAAAGATGGCCTGTGACGGGGGTAAACAAGTGAATAAAACTTTCATTTGCATAGAAATGTAAAAACAAAGACAAAATCAAAAAAAAAACAAAAATAAAGTGTGAATGGGCGACAGTATTAAACAGTAACAACAAACCTCTCGGGTCCCTCAAGACTGGGTACAGTTTCCCATGCTAATTGTTGCATTGTTTTCCCAGTTATATCTTCAAGAGGCATCAACCTATTTGCCTGCATTGAGAGCTTTTCAACACCAACAGAGGCCAAACCCTGAAGAATGTCCATTATGCTAGAACCCATTTCAGCAGGCACCACCACTGGACTGGACGCCTGCATAATTAAGCTCCCTCTGTTTTTTGCTGTCCTGAAAAGCACAGGATTCATTGAGCGTAAAAACCCTCCATTTTTAGTCTGAACAAAAGGACCCAAACCTTCTGCAAGGGGAGGCAGCTGCTGAGGATTCTGGGGAAGTACATCAATTGGACTCCCAAACCCACCCGAGCTGCTAGGTGGAGAATGTTGAAAAGCCCTCTCATTTAAGCCCCACTCATCCATTAAAGCTTCAGTCTCCAAGTCTTCCAATATTGTGGCCCTTGTTTTAGTCATCATTGCCTCAGTTTCTATCTTAAGCCTCTCCTCGTAGTCCTGTACCATTGCCGAGTTATGAAAGTCATCGGAGATGGTCCCCCACCCAGAAGCTGTAGGAGCATGAGTAAAAAATTCTACAGTATCGTTTTCAACATCAAAGTCCAATAAGGAACTCCCGCTGGCAAGACAATCCTTCTCAAATTGCCTTAATAGGCGTTCTCTAGGGGACTCGGTCTCACTTTCTGAACTCAAGCTAAATGGACTGTGATCTATCCCCAGCATGTCAAAGAATTCATTAGCAACAGATTCAGTAATATCGTCCAAACTCTGTGATCTCTCCTTCCTAAGATTGCTGTATTTTAACTCAGTCTCTGAATTAGATTCTTGGTCTGAAATATCACATTCATCTTCTTGTGAATCTAATCCTTTCATCAAATCTGAGGTGGAACTCAAAGCCAACTCCAGTTCTTTCATTATTGATTCTTTAGTGCACTCATCATTCTGTATAAAATTGCAGTCACTTACCGATGGTTCATCTGTTTGACAACCAACTTTTTCAACCGATGGATTAACGAGTAGCTCAACATCACTGTTGGTTTCAGGACTCTTTCCTACAGAATCTTGAACAGCCTTTGACCTATCGCCTTTTGGTTCCACTTGTTCCCTTGTGAACTCCTCTCTCTCTTGCTCTAAGACAGAATATTCACCAATTTTGCATTCAGTTTCAGGACTACCCTTTACTGCATCAGGAGGTATAGATGAATCTAATTTAAGAGGCTCAACAGGCTCAAAAAAAGGAAGAGTCTCTGATTTATAATTAACTGAAGCATTTGACATCTCTTTGTCAAGTTTCTGACATGGTATATTCATCGAGTCAGAGAGTTCCGACCTTGTTATGGGCAATACCTCGTGAAGATCCTTTATATCTTCAGCAGACAGATTTGAGGTAAAAGACTTTGCAGGAAGGCTTCCTGTTTGCAGAATACTTAGCTCATTCATTTGATCGAATTGTCCAAGGAGTTTTGTTGCACTTGAACTATTCCGCAGCAATCCCTCAGGGGTGGAAACATAGTTGTTGCTAGAAAACTCGGTGCTATTGCTCCCAATTACTGCGTAACCAAAACTAACATTCATAGTCCCACCTCTAGCTTTACCTGACAATCGGAAACTAGTTGTCCATTTCCCTGAGCTCTTCTCCTCCTCCAATTCCTCTAATGTTAGAGGAAGCAACCTTGTTAAATCAACCCGATGCTTACCTAAATCAAGCTCGGGAGCATTATATACTGAGACATACAATAAGAAATGCTTTGCCTCGTACTTTGCTGAATGATGGGAACCACTCCTACTACCATAGACAGAGCATAAATGAGACAATTGTTCCTGGAACTCAGCTACTCCTCCACAAACTCTAACTGGGCACGTCATTAACTCACCATCCCGCCTCTTCCAATGCACGATAAGACTAGCATCATCAAAAAATGCGGGTAACCCTTCTATGGAATGGATTTGGACGGAGAAACGGCAATTGAACCTGCGATTTCTGACATGGGTCAGGGCCTTTATACCCTTCCAACTCCAAATGGACTTCTTATCCTTGTCAAATGAATCTTTAGCGTTTTTGCTGGCATCCTTCAGCTTCGTTTTGGGTTCAAGCAAATGTGGTTTTCTTACAGACTTCGATCTACTACTAATGATAGAAATTGCGTCCGTTGGCTGTGTTTTATCTGAATACAGGGATTTACTTATAGTGTCAAGGTCATTCAAAAACTTCGAAGTTCCTGCATTCCCAACAGGTTTCTTCCTACTATCTGCTTTTGACATTATCTCCACACAAGCTACAAAATGACACAAAAAAAAAAACCTTTCCAAAATTACATATAGCATAAAAACTAACAAAACCCATCTCCAAAATCCAAAAATATTAAATAAACCCCAAATTTCTCATCGAAAGCCAATGACTTTATACAGTTATTAGCTAAAATTGAAAGAAAAATACTGTTCATAACTCAAAATGAAAACAAAAAATGAATTAAATACGATACAGATTAATCGTAACTGTTTATATTTATAAATTGACCAGTTATTAATTGGCAAATTCTAAGAAAATAAAATTGACAAACAAGGAAAGCCACGAGAGAATGAAGATCTTACGAGTAGAATAAACGATAACTCAGCGGAAGTTTTCGGGCTTTGATCTCTCCCTACCAACCCCGCTCCCTCTTGGCGTGACCATTTTTAATTCAAAGTTAGAGCAGGAGTAATCTTTCATTCACGCCCCTGTAATCTTTTATATCTTTTCTTTTGCCCATAGTATTTGTATATTTTTCATCTTGATCCATCACATTCAGATAAATACACGTCAATCCCGATGACGTGTCAAAACTTGAGTAAACATATTCAGTACTTTATAATTTACCTTACTTAACAAGCCATAAATACGTGGAAAATTCCACAAGTACGGGAATTCTTTACAGAATCCCAATAGGTCCAGCTGTGGCAATACATGATTTGCAGACAATGTGTTTTTTTTTTTGTTATCTGCTAATGAATTTGTGCCATGTGAATTCCTTTAAAATTTCTATGAAGATTTTCCTGTACTTGTAGCATTACTCTAAATACTTAGAACATCTAAATGCATTTAATAAAGTTTCAATGTTTCACTACTTAAGCCTTATTTGATAACCATTATTAAAAATAAAATAAAATAAAAATTAATATTTTGAATAGTGATTTTTAGGACAATATGTGATCCAAAAGTAGGAAAAAGTTTTGAATTTTCGTGCAAAATATTTCATTGTGCAAATATATAGTTGAAAGCGAGTATATAAAAATAAGAGTTTTCATATTATATTGAATATTTAACTATTGACAATTGAAAATTACTTTTAACGCACTCCTATTTTCAGAATGAGTGATGTCATCTAACATCACCAACGAATCCAACACCAAATTAAATGGAACTAAATGTCATTATATGAAAGATACACTAGTGAATCATATAATTTTACATTTAATTGAACAAGAATATTAATTGTTTTTATTGTATACATTTCTCCTTATTCAGTTCAAAGTACTAAATATTTTAGTATTTCAATCACATATCTTTATTATTTTTCACGAGGTGGGCTTCGAATTCTACAATAATTCTTTTCTGTTAAGAACTATAATTCATTATCATCCTCTCTAGAGAATTTGATTGTTCTTCAAAACATGATACATTATATTAAGAAGTTTCGAAGGAAGAAGCCGTACAAATCACATCAAATTTACTAAACTAAACTTTACATGTAACGTCCCAATTTTATTTAATTTTTTTTTTTCAAATTTAAGCCGTTATCAAACGTTTCTTCAAAAATAAATAGGTTTATAATAATGTTATCCTGAAATAAAATAGTGTCAAGTGAAAGAGTAAAAACTTTAATACATATATTACTTTCATCCCTTTTATACAATTGACGCAACCACAAGATATTTTACAACTTTTAAAACATATATGCCTGATTTTATTTGAAGTATGTAGCTCGATGCATACTTTTTGGTTTTTATAAAAGTGTATAGCACCATATATGTATTCAATCATTGAATTTAAATCTTTTAATGATAAGTGACCATAAAAATATATAACTGTTGACATTTATGCAGCCACTTGTCCGTTTCAGCATTCAATAGTTTTAAAATGACAGAAAGATAAGATGGAATTTACACCAAATATCATAAATCTTAATTGAAATTCGAAGTGCAATTTAAACATTTAAAGAGATGGGAATGTTAATATCCTAGAAAACATGCAACTAAATTTTTAGCGAACTTTTCCAAATAATTAAATTAAGCATGAGTGTCTATTGCAATAACATTGAATAGAAATAAAGTTACGTGTTAGATTTTAGAGTTTTGTCCCATGAAATGAGGCACAACCACACCATCGAGTCGCCGCACTCCGACACGACCCGTACTAACATGTAAGGTAGGGAAAAGGGATGAGTATAAAGAATACTCAGTAGGACACGATTAATGGTGCGGTCCCGAATAAAATATTCAATCATGTATCAAAATAATCATACCGTCATATCATATCTTTAAATTTCAGTAAGAGCTCATATCATATCATAACTTTCATGAGTATAACATTTATCAACATGAAGAAATAAATTAAACGGGACTAACCACTTGCACCTTGTAATCCTACCTTAATTGATGAAAAGAGTTTTCTTGAAAGAAAGACAGTAGATCCAGTTCAAGACTTCTTCTTCTTCTTTTTGTTCAAGGGTATCTATCACAACTCTTTTATTCCTAACGTGAAACACTTATTATGGTAGTCAAAGCTTCTCCACGTTTGTACCATCTATCATATTTATGTGACATAATAAAGTCACACGTTTTTCCATAATTTACTTATTTTCCTTCTAGTCACACACGGGTCAACCAATTGATTTAAACTCAAACAAGGAAATTACTAATCTCAATCAAATACAATTGATGTAATGGGAGTACAAGATATGATTTTCGTGTATTTTCAAGATGTTGACAATACTATAATATTTTTATATCATTTCTACCATAAAAGAGAGAAGATTCCTTTATTCTAGCTATATCCAATCTACACGGTTTCATAAGTGATATATAAATTTCCAAAATCAATGTAATTAAATAATATTAAATTTATAATAATTGACAATTCTTGTCACTCCCCCAAATCAAGGTAAATAAACTATTTTAAAAATGAAACTTCCTCATCTATCAACATCAAATCATGACCAATTGGGAAATAAATTTCTCTCTTCTTTTTCAACAATATAGCTCACGTGGGAATGGAAAATCTTAAAATGAATAATTTATTATAAATTTAGACAATATCTTTTAGCCTCAAAAACATGGACATAACTTGTTCGGAATAATTATTTCTCGAGGCCAATGTACTTTATTTAATACGAGCTACATAACGAGCCCAATATCGATATATAAAATCTCGTACTATCGTTACTTAATTATTTAGCCCAAGTAAAATATGAATTTAAAAGCAATTCCATTTTAGTCCTCAAATTTTCAAAATATAAAATATAGCATACACTTTTATTCTAAAATTTTCGGGGCGTTACATTACATTCGACCGATTTTATCACATTTCCTTTTTGTTTAATGTTATCGAATTCAACGTGCAAAACATTTTTATTAATTTTAATAGGTTTACAAACACGTGTGCTTCGAATGAATGTTGGTTGGATGCTAAATGAAAATCTATTTTGTTTATGCTTGACAAGAGTTGGTCTGTCTTTTCCTTATGGCTTATGTGAATAATTTTTGGAAGGGTATATTGATTTGAATTTTGAATAAAATATTTTTAGGAGCGTGCATTAGTGATCCAAATTGTGCACAAAGCAACACTAATTTGCTTCCAAAGAATATTCTTACAGAATGAAAATAACATTTCACAAAAAAGCCCCAAAACGCCGACTCTGTATAAAGTATATCATTTAGGACATGTTCGATAGTGATTATGAGAATTAATTTTTTGATCATTAGAGAGAAAAATGTATCCCACCTGTAAGTGAGAAAATAAAAAATGATGGCTAGAATAGTGAAATAACGGTCAAAAAATCAATTTTCTGTGGTGAAAAATTTCTACCAAATGGGGGCTTAATGTTTTATTTAGACAAGATATTCTATTTTCTACTAATGTTCAAAAAAATTAAAATTAAAAATTTTTAAAAATAAAAACTAAAGAGAGAAATTGTACCTAACATGCTTTCATTAACTTAGTTCTAACTTATAATATTTAAATCATTGTTCTGATCACCTTTAGTTATTAGAGAATGTGGAGCAATTGGTCTTTTTTTTTTTTTTTTTTTCTTTTTTTTTTTTTTTTAAATAAAAAAACCAATATTTTACTTGAAAATATTAAACATTTTATCATATCAATTTTCATTTTTTAACTTAATTTCAATTAGAGAAAATTGCAGCTAGATCCGTAACCTTTTGAAAAAGTACAAATGAATCTCAAACCATTAGTTAATAATATGTAATTGAGCATAGTGTCAATTAAATTTTGACAAGGAAAAAAAAAAGAGAAAAAAGAAGAAGAGAGGTTAAATCATAGTACTTTTAGTGTATGCAATTGCTTTGTGATGTGAACTTCATAAAATATAACAAATATACCCTCAAATAGAAGAATTAAAAAGAAGGCCCTGTTTGATAGGCCAAATTTTTCATGGAAGATGGAAATTATCCCACAATTTTTCACTTTTTAACCTGTTTGAAAGGAATTATTCTCTTGGTAATTATTTTTCTCACTTTCACTCACGTGATCCTTTTTTCCCACCTTTTTGAGGAATTAGTTTTCCCATGGGTTTGGTGATTTTCAGATTTTTTTTTTTTTTTTTTTTTTTTGGCAATTGAAAAAATTTTTTTCCCCAATTTTAATAATTTATATCCTTTTAATTGATAATTTTCATGAAAAACAAAGCCAAATGAATAGCAAAAAAGTCAGCATTTCAATATTTTTTAAGTAAAAAATTATACCAATCAAACACGTTTACTTGACAAGTCCCAGTGAAACAAATTTTAGACAATTCAATTCGTTAAAATTCATTTTCTTTCCACCAAAATTCAATTTTTGCAATCAAACAAACCATCATTGTATATTTGGAATATCAAAAGGTTCACGGTGAGTGTCGCAGTTTTTTCAAAGGTAAAAGAACTGGGCTACCAATGCCCAGATCATTGGCATATGAACGGGCCTGGATTGAAAATTTAGCTTCAGCCATAATTAATTCACTAATTAAACAAGAGGAAATTAAATAGTGTTAATCTCCACGGGTGATCTTCATTTTCATTAAAAAAAAATAAAAATGAAAGAGTTAAATCAAGTAAATTATATCACGTACTTACATACCTACTAAGCAAAAAATAATTTGAAATAATCGATGATACCTCGGTGTAAGAAAATTTGAAATAATAATTCGGGATTGAAAATTTTGATTTAATCATGTTCACGAATCTTAGGAACGTGGAATGGCCCCACAAAGAATAAGAAAATTTATTGTCACCCTCACTTCTATCATCATGAAATAGGCTCATAAGTCATAATATGCTTTAATATAATCGCGATGCATAGGCGAACCTTTGGCATCGAACGCCATTAGTCCCATCTACTCGAAACTGAATACTTGGATGAAGGTCGCAGAAGCTAACCAAAGCACTTAAGATGGTTGAACTAACAAGAAGCCCAAAAAAACTAAAAGTACTAAAGACCCGAAACGAAGGAACACAAATATATTGTTAATTACGCCACAACATAAGAAGATTTAGAGTATAGTCATGCTACGGTGACATAATGATTGAGATACTCTTTGACATAATGCTATATGATATTATATCATTGATCAGTTTAAAAACAGTCAGTATTTTCATTCATTCATCTATTATGACATACAAATTTATCAACCTCTCTATCATTTTTCTACTATCAAAATAGATTAAGCCTATAGAGAATTTAGTGAAAGTAACAACCAACTCAATGATAGTGACAATGTGTCATAAAACTATCTAGAATTACAATTTGTTGTAGACTATCCAATAATAATGCAAAATGCGTCCAAGTAGTAGCCATTGATTTAAAAAATCCATAAATACCCAGAAAAATCACAAGGCAAGCAATACTAGAAACCGTAACCTAATTTTTGCTCTCTCTCTCTCTTAGAACTTTAATTGACCTGGGTCACCTCTAGAAAACTCTTTTATTAGAGCTCTGGTAGTCGAAAAAAAGTTCTAAATAGGTAGTTAAGCAAGAAGCTGACCAAGAATTTAACCTACACTTTTCAAGGTCAAAAATCCATTTTTGTTTGAGTATCTTCTAACTAAGAATAAAGTCGGTGCTAAAAGACAGAGATTCAAAGACAGACTGATTTGGCAGAATGATTGGCTATTTCTTTTTTTCTTTTATTTTATTTTATTTTCGAAGTGTCTAATCATGTTTCGACATGTGTCTACCTTATTTTTTACCTTGTATTTGAGCTTGACTCTGTAGCATTGTTTCCTAAGTAAAGCCAATGTCCAACTTAAATCCTTAATAGTAATGATCTGAACATGTGACATGTGGGCTCGACAATTTGGTGCGAGCCTCTAAACAAGGGTTGAACCAACCAGTAGACATTAATGCCTGAAAGATGCTACAGATTCAAGGTAGAAAACATGGTAAAAAATAAGGATATCACGTGTCGACAAGTACTTGTATAGTTTGAATTTTTTTTAAAAACACCGCCAATCAAAAACATCCAAGTCAACCTATTTTCTTGTATCCTATTTTCAACCCTGTTCAAGGAGTTTAATTCTTAACGTCTTCAATGAAATTGCATTAATAATTATAGAATGATTTGGAACGTGTGAGCTATTAATTGTGATTGGGACAATAATCTAAAATGCAAAATTCCTCCTTGAAAGGCGGAATCTGAATCTAGAAACAACCCTATCCCATCCCCTCGGCAATTAATTCCTCATGTTCATTTATTCATCATAATGAGAGATAAATGCATACTCTAGAAAACGATGACACGATAATGACATGTTAAGCATATTAGACTGAATCGAAGTGAACATGACTAATCATTTCATGTTCTCAACGATCTTAATCAACAATATTGTTTTTTCCAAACGTTCACAATTTTGAGTTAATAAAAAATGTGGGTGCTAGTTATATTTGGAAATCCATTTGATTCTTAGATTGGACATGGCCTCCTGCAAATACATTAAGGGTAATTTTATTACCACTACGGATTTTTTTAGGTCCACAACAATTTTAAGTATTTTTCTTATTTACTTAAATAAACTATTGTGAAATTACATAAATAATTTTTTACTATATTTTTGTCACAAATAATTTATTGTTACACCACTAACATAAAATAATCCATCCACAACTCATATTTGATCAAACAAAAAATTCTCTCTCTCGATCTCAAACAAATTGGGAGAGAAATGGTGAATTTCTTGGTAGCTTTTGACAGATTTCAAAGTTGAGAAATTTGAAGACCATTGTTTCATTTAATTGAATGATTGTTGGCCTCTCTTAGTTTAATATCTTCTCTCAAGAATTCGAACCTTAGATACAATTTTTTGCCCAAAAAATTTGTAAGTTCAGGGGTACCCTGGATATATTTTCACGACTAAGGGATGGTTCATTACCTCCTTATTTCTAAGAGAAGCTATAAACACACTCTAATTCTCAAAACCAAAGAATAATCAGAAACCAAATAAATAATAAAACCTATCTTGATTCATAATATGGTATTTACTGTGATATTTAATACCATGTATTGGTAAAATACTTTCACTTTGGTTGGGTATCTTGGATTTCGTTGTGACTTAATAACACACCCTTGACGGAATACCATTAGGACATAAAAACTATGAAATTTGAAAATCCTGAATTTCAGTTTTAATGACAATGATGTTCTATCGGTATTAAGGAAGCTTTTTTTAGAAACACTGTATGCTTCCAGTTTGTCACAGAAGCTATAAAAGAAGAAGAACGAGAATTTCAAATACCTCAAGAATATTCATAACACAAAATCATCAATAAAAGAAAGTTTCCCAAAACAGTCATGGCAAAATCCCAAGAAAAAATGTCAAGTAGAAATTTTTTATGGATGAAAAAAGATAGCCGGTGGGGAGAGTGGTGACATGAAAAGGATAGTAATATTAAGATTTGAAGTTCCATTTTAAAAAGTCAATCTTATTAAGAGGAGTAGTTTAAGATTTTTTTAAGTTGGTCAATAATTCGATAGTTAACCGATGTGAGATTTTTTTCCCTTAACAAATAACGTGGTGTACTTTAATTTTTCGCTTTTCTATTTTAATTGGATTTAGTTGCATATGTAACTTACCTGTGGTGTATTTATCAAAATGTATTTTAATTGTGGCATGACAAATAAAATTTTTGGTGGTAATATATTTATCGTTATCTTAATTGCCAACAATGTATGAAAATACAAACTTCACTTACGTAGAAAATACAAAAACATGAGTGAAAAACCAAAACGGATAGGATAAAATGATTTGCAAACAACAAGAAAATATGTTGAATTTTGCTAGTTGTATAATCGAGTTGACAACCCCTCATAAGAAGGGGGCCCATGAGCATGGTTCAAATATATAATCAAGTGGGTCATCATGGAGAGAATCAAGAATCAAGAGAATATTTCATCAAATTGAAGATATCGACTAAAGTTGGATACATGAATTAATTTTCGCTTCGTCACTCTAAAGAAATGAAGCTTCAATGTTTAAATATTTGAATTACTCAAGAAAACTCAGTTAAACACAGACGAGCCATTTGATCAATTTAATTAAAAATGAGTCATCATTTTTAAAAACGAAAATCTAATACCCTATTAAAATTAGAAGAAAACAGTTTGCAGAATAATAGCATATTTAAATAGGCAAATCTTTTGTCTATATCTAAATCTTTTGTCAAGGAAAAAAATGAAATCCATAAGAATCGAATTGCTTCACCAGTTCAATTTGTCCAAATAAAGACACGTAGCCCATAGATGGTTGTTTCCTCAAACTTGTTTCACACAATGATATGATATAAGATCTTCCTGTTAATTAAAAAACCTAATTTATTTGGGATTTGTTAACCGTAATTAGAATCTTAATAGCAACAGTAATCATATTGAGCTCTAATCAGAAAGATTAGTAATTTTCATTCTGACGGATCGGTATATTTCTGTATGCACAAGCTCATTAGCATGATAATAAAAAATTGAGCAAAACACATCCCATTTCCACCACCTTCAATAGATTTCCGACAAAAACAGTCCGAAAGAGTAGAAAAAATGTCAAGCAGCGAAGAGAATATAGAGATGAAGGATTCAAGTGGGGATTCATTTGGGAAGGTCAAACAAAGTTTCAAAGATCGATCCCAGGTACTGTTCTATTTGTGTTGTGTGTAGGCATTAAGATTTTATGGTGTAGATTGAAAAATATTTGATTTTTTGTGAGTTGGGTTGGTGTTTTCTTTCTTCCTTGACGTGGTTATGTTTGGTTTTGCTCAGAAAGTGGCTCAAACCAAGGAAATTTTGTCGAAACAAGCAGTTCAGACCAAACAGATCTTGTCTAAACAAGCCGTTAAAATCTCCAAACAGGCTGAAGAACATGAAAGATTCATCAATAAGGTATCAAACTTAATCTTATATATTCAAGAATCTATATGTATGTATATGTGTGTGGTGTATTTCAAGAATCCTTGCATGTTATGTGTATGTAAAAAAGTTAACACGAAAGGGCAGTCACAAGTTTTCTTTATGAATTAGGGTGCTTTCCGCTTAGTTGAGTTCATTGGTTTCTTCGTATAATTTGTTTTAAATCCGCTTTAAATTTATATATGGTGTTTGAAATTTCATTTGTGGTTGTATTCATTGGACTTCTGGTGGTTTGCAGGTGACATATTTTTTGGGTGTTCTTGGTTTTGGGGCGTTCTGCTTTATTTTGGGTGCAAGTGAGTGAACAGTGGTGACTTCAAGAATCTGTTTACATTACATTTGAATTCTCGTGATTGTATTTTAATTTGGTGTTTTTGTTGATTGACGAATCAGGGCCGCGTGATATACCATATGTATATTGTGTGTTCTATGTAATTTTTGTTCCTCTCAGGTGGATTTATTATCGATACAAAAAATGGCACTACTACCTTATGGTGAGCCCAGACTCTTGGCAAAGTATAATTACTGTATTTCTAAAAAATTCTTATGCTTTATTTTGAAGCTGAGTTTGATGATTAATTAGTAAGCACGGACGTTTTATTCTAATTTAGGTCTATGGAAATGGATGGAAATTTTAAAAGAATATTTATCCAGCTGCATTGCCAAAAATATAATCTGGATTGCTACTTTAAAGATGCACTTTTGGCATATAAATTTTGAACTTCATATATTTGTTGGTTGCGATGCACTTTAATGTCCATTCTTCAATAAAGGTTTTACACTCTTTAAGATCATAATAATTTTGAATTGTTGGTCAGATGAGGTAGAAGGGAAATATCAAAGAGGCAATCTACTGTTATCTAACGTTCTTGTTTCATGCAGGATTTTTGCTACTACGCCAACACAATCTTCATCATCATGCTTCTGTTTTATCCAAGAAATGAGAAGCTTTTCATGGTTTGCTTCTCATTTGCAGAGGTAATCGGTTGGTTGAGAGGTACATTTGTCCCATCTTGTTGATTGAGGTTCTTTTTTTTTTTTCCTTTATTCTGAATCATATAATATTACTGCAGGGGCCATTGGCGTGGGCACTAATTGTTTGGAGATGTAGCTTAGTTTTTAATTCTATGGACAAAATTGTAAGCGTCTTCATACATCTTTTGCCCGGTAAGTCAACCCTTTTTGCCGTTCAGATTTTAGTGGTTCTGTGGTTCTGCTGACAGCAATTAGGTGTTCCAGCTTGAAAGCATGTTTTGATTTCCTATTATAAGATTTGAGGATAAAATTTGATTCGCTTTTAACCATTCACCTTACATTTACTGCTTTTCTTCTGTTGTCTCTTGACTACTTAAGCTGCAGTTGTTTACACTTCATCTAATCAACAAGTTTTGTGACGAGCATAACAGCGCTACTGTTCCAACGGAGAGAAGAACCTATGATTAGATTTTTGGAAGATTTCAAATGAACAATTTCAACAAAAATCTTTCAGTTTCTAATTTTACTATGTTCGACTCTATGCATTTTTCTATCTAGAGAGTACATTTCGTAGAAATGACTTTATCGAACATATAGTGCATAGAAATTGTAAGTCAGTTGTGAATTAAGTATCTTGCAGCTGATGCAGCATTTGTGGTTTTCAGGATTGGTTTATTTCACGATAAGATGGTGGGACCCTGTGTTTTTGGAAGCCATGCATCCCGAAGGAACTGTGCAGAGAGCTTCATGGCCATCTGTAGAGAGCAAATCTTATCTCTGGACGTGGCTGTTTTTTGTTCCTTTATTTGCTTACAGCATTTGGCAGGTTCTTTATTTTCTTATTGTAAATGTTCTACGTCGACAAAGACTACTAAGAGATCCCGAAGTCATGACTTCTTACAGGTCATCACCTTTCTCCTTATCGCATGATTACTCTCTCTGTTTCTTCAGGTTGAAGGTTGCAATATTGTCACTACTCATAGACTTGGAGTCCTTGAGAACATTTTTTTGGCTAAGCTTAAAAATAAGTATTTACTTTTAACTTTTTGTTCCCAAACATGTTTGGATAAGTTTTTTTTCTTGCTTTTAAGTAGAAAAAGTTACTCATTTGAAATTATCACTTATCTTGATGTCTAAAAATTAACTCATTTCAATATTGATAAAAAAGTTCTGTATTTTAAAACTAATTTACTCCTTACAATTGAACTTTCTAAGCTTAGCAGACATCTCTTATTTCTTTCTTTCATAAGTTTATTATCGTTGTGTCTCAATCTTTCAACTTTGTGTATGATAGGGAATTGTCAAAGAAAGCACAGAAAGCAAATAACTTATGGTGGCGTTTAAGTGGTTTGCTCGGGGATCAAAATCGCTTGTTTATGTATATTTTGCTTCAAGCTATATTCACGGTGGCAACTATGGCACTTACGGTCCCCATATTCTTGTCTTATGATTTGCATGTCGTTTTCCAAATACTCAAAGTTTCTGCATCCGTATGGAACGGAGGAAACTTCCTACTCGAAGTGATGCCACAGCAAGTCATTCTCAAAGAGAAGAAGAAAACCGAGATGCACCCTATTGAGAAACCACGAGATCAGTCAGCACTCGAGAACTCAATGAAAGCAAGTAATTCTTCTGTAATACTCGAATCTTAGCAGGTGTGCACAAATAAATTGTCTTGTAAAACTGTTTTCTTTTTCTCTGATGTTTGTTGGTGTGAACTTGGACTGATTTATTTTCTTTGCTCTAAAGAATTTTCATTTTTCTACATGCACTCTATTTAGATATGGCCTGATTTGTAAACTAGGTGAAATGAAATGTGAAATTATGCTTCCTTTTCACGTCTTGGAATTGGGACTGAATTTGAAGACATGATAAGTTGCTAGATTTATGGATTCATGCTGGACTCTGGTATTGTGATAATTGTTTAGAAGCATCTGCTTATACATACTGTTTTTGGCCATTTATGGAAGACAAGACAGACGGCATTTTATCAGTCGATCACTTCTACTTTGACTTTTGATCCCTTTATTGTGTTTTATTATTTTTCCTTTTTTGTCTTCAACCTTTCGCCGCACAAGGTTTGTAGAGCAGTTTGTCATAGCAGGATAATGTGCCGACAGAGATCAATTTTGACCTGTAAAAGAAAATAGGAAGGAGTTACAAAGGTATACTGAGTTACTGATTTTCACCTTGGTCACGTTCTCTCAAAATATATTGAATTATACAGTTAAAGACCTGTATTTTCTATTTAAGATCTGTTTTTGGAAAGTCAAAAACTGTTTCAGAGATTAAGAAACTACTTTTGAACCTGTGTGGACAATTTTTTGAAGGTGTTTTTTCTTAGAAGAGCTTTTAGAAGAAAATTGTTTGAGGTAACTTCCTTGAGAAGTTTTTCTATAAGAAGTAGAAACAGAAGCGAAAGCAAAAGTTAAAGCTATGTCAAAAGGGTCCTTATCATCATTGTTATTTTATTTTTTTTTGTGGAACCTAGAATGAGATATATTCAATTAAAGTAAAGCTATTCGGCATCGATTTATGTCACATTGAAAGATGGATTCAATTAAACGAGTCTTAGATTCTTAACATTTAATTGAACATATCATTTAATGATACTTATATGCCACGTAAATTATTGTTTAATTTTTTTAACATTGGTGCTAGTGTTACATAGCATTATTCATTCAAGAATAGCTTGGACGCTAAATGCAAGTTGACTCTTTGAAATGTTTTGGGTTGGTATGCAATAACGGCTAGAACTTATGAGACTCTAGCTTACATTTTTCCTTAATAAAAAGAAAGATAAAACGTTGATATCACGATAGGCATTTAGCTTCTTATCATGGTGGTGATAATTGACTATTATTTGCAGTACCAATTTGTCCGGTCAAGAGATTTTACAATGTAGTATGACAATTTTCATGTAAAGATTTTGTCTTTGATAAACTTAATCCACGCATAACTTTTAGGGAGAGAGATACAAATTATTCTAACTGTAACCAAATTAACTCTTGGAGCACTTCGTCTTCTCATTTTAGGCCAAAGATTTTGACTCTCTCTTCTTCCCCACTCTATATGGCCAAGATCAATTTCTTTCACTGAAGGATAGTAGGGACCTGTTAGACAGGTTTTGCTTCTTGTAGAAAACAAGAAAATTTTTATGAAGAACCAGTTCTTTCTAAAAGATTTTCCTAAACAAGGTAAAGAACTTCAAAAATTATTCAATTATCTTTAAAATCAACTTTTTGACTTTTCAAAGTCTTGCCAAGCAAGACCTAAATTACTCTTAGGATACATCACATTGAGGTCACTATATTGACCCAAGGTAAAAATACTTTATCTTTCGAGTCAAGTCTTTATTCTCTGTGTAAAAGCAATTCTAGTTTTTGCATACAAATAAATAATACTTTAGCACTTGTATAAAAGGAATAAGTTAATGGAAATTAGGGTCATGAAGAGAACAGTGGTCTACAGAGTTAATTGTTCCAATGCTCACTGAATTGAGGTTCATGTCTTCGATTGGTCACTGAAGTTTAAAATGTCGAGTTTGATCATTAAGCTTATTCCAGTCGAATCCTTTGGAGGTATGTGGAGATTTTGAGTGGTAATCGATGAGGACATTGTGGACTTTTCAATGATCTCCAAATCGACTATCTAGATGGTCGAAAGTTGTCAGAAAATTGCCGCAAACCTCGCCCAGAAATTTAAAAAATCTGGGTGATCGTTTTTGCAAGTTTGTAAACTTCAGTGATCATTTCTGAAAGCGCTCTAAATTTCATTGACTGTTTCTATCAGTTTTAAACTTCAGTGACCGTTTTGTAATTTTCAAGTAAATTCAGTGACCGTTTGTAAAATCAACCCATAGTAAAATGGTGAGGGAAAATAGAATATTAAGAAATTGAATGATCCTAACTCTGTGGAGTTAAATGTTTCATTGGCTATTGAATTTTGTATCATGTCACGATTTACTTACTGAACTTTGTGAGTAGTCCCATTAGCCGCTAAACTTTACTCTGTTAGTGTCCATCACTCACCCGGCTGGGTGTCATTTGAATTGTTGCTGACATCGAGGATGGAATGATGACATGTCGAATTAACTCATTCCATGTGGTAAGTTGAGTCCCATTATTTCCAAATCAATTCCCCATCATCGCCACGTCAAAAATTGGTCTTCAGAGCACATCTTTGACATGAAAAACAACACACGAGTTTGTCTGTGAATCACCAAACCCTAAGCTCCTGAAATCAATTTCCCCCAAATCAATTCTCTCACTTGAAGTCCTCATGTTCCTCAAATCCATTCTTGTAGCTCGTGCGGTATCCCAAATCAAGGTAATTTACGTATTTCTCCGTGTTATTGAGAAGATGTCGTGGAAATGGACGCAATCCTGTAAGTGTTGCTGAAGGTCGGCTTCGAAAGTTGAAGAAACCAGATGTCTCGGGTGGATAGTTGCTGCTGGGGACTCTGGGACAAGGTTAATGGTGGTTTCTTTGTTAGATTTGGTCTTGGATTCCGAGGGGATGAAGAAAATCAGAGAGGATTTTTTTTAAGGGACATAGCGATTATTCAACTATTGTTGATGAAATTGGGATGAAGTTGGATTTTGTGGGCGTATGTGAGAAATCTGCCAAATAGAAAGATGCACAGCCACGATAAATTATGTGATATCAGTTTGGTGTTTTTGTTTTTTGGTAATGTTGCTGGAAAATATGTGGGGCATAGATTCTTATCGTTACCTTTTTGTCCAAATACGTCCCAAACTTTTGTTACCTTCTTTTTAATAGATGGAGAGAGAACAAGCATTACGATCTAGTGTTGCTCATCTTATAAATTTGGATTTACCAAAATGAGTTCAATATACAGCTTTAGTCGCTGAACTTGATGCAATCAAATGAAAACTAAAACTGAAGACCGACAGCAATTTGAAGTAACTAGAACAGCATATCTGATGGAAATTATGGATCTGCAAAGGCAGACCTAGAAACTGCACCAGGTACTTAGGGAATTTTCCCAACCCGACTTTGATCACACATATTGCTCGATGCAATGGTGGATTATTTGCCCTCTCCTATTGACTTGCCATCAGTGAAAGGAACTGACCCTGATGATTCGGAGTTGATAACTGAAAGAACTGTCATTGATGATGAACCATTTTGTCGGTTTAGCTTTCAAGATCATGAGCGATCCATTTGTTCGTTTGCTAAAATTTGTCCGAGTGTCTTAGGTACTAAATTCTAACAAAGGAAAGAAAGAGAGAATTGGTCAACTTCTCGAAATGCATGGGAACATCCTAGAGAATGATTCCATTTTTTTTTTTTTTTTTCTCCTAAAAAATTCTTTTTTTTTTTTTTTTTTTTTTTTAACGAGGTGTCCCAGCTTACGCCAAACTATATTCTCGTCCTTAAACTTCCGGCCCCTCAGCAGATCAGGGAGGTAAATCGCGGGATGTGCCCAAGTTGACCAGGGTTCAAACAGTCTTTATACTCCTGGCCCCTCAGCAAAATTTTAGTTATGGATATGATTGTTTGCGGGTTGAAGACGCTTGCTATCGTTTCAAATTAGGACGCAACTATGTGACTTTAATATGTATGGTTATTACATCACCAAGCTGTTCCAACCCTTCTTCTGGTTATTACAACACTCAGCTGCTCCAATCAGGAATCGAACTCCCCACGCTAGGGTTGCGAGCTCCGCACTGTCCTTCCTTTGCCAACTTGGATGTGCCCCGAGGGGCTAATAATTCCATTTTCTTGTTTTACACAAGTCTGCCAAAAACAGAATTGTGCATAGCTGCAATACAAAACTAAAGAAGACTTTGTCACAGACTAGAAAGGCCGCAGTAAGAGAAGTAAGAACATTGCATGACTTTGTCATGAGGTTTGTTATTAACAGCAAGCTCAACAGATACATTCAAAGGTTGATCAAATCCAGATATGGAAAGTTCAACAGCAATTATCCCTTAACAACTGAGACATGCCTTAAACGGCTTCTAAAACACTTCTATCGATTGTTACACTACAGACTTCCAACAAAAACAAAATTTCTTCCAACTTCATCTTGCTTCATATTATGCAAATTAAGCTGATGTGTGCTTCTGCGTGTACACCGTGTGAATTTTGCTCTTGGCTTCTTCGAACTTCATCTTGTTCTTGGTCTTCCCGATATGACATTCAAAGAAGTCGCCTCATCTATGTGTGCCAATTCTTCCTCCATTTCAATTAAGTTGACTTGCTCAGTTGGTACATGAGCTGCAACATTTGGTCCGGCTTCGTTTACATTTTGTTAGCTGCACAAGGGGTTTCGCCTATAGATGCTCCATTCCATGTGGTTGCAACAAATTTCCCCTAAGGGAAGAATGAAACAATCAGTTTAGATTTTATTTCCAATTGATCTCATTCTTATAAACGAAATGTAATAAATGTTTACTAACTTGTTCATTAACTACTCAGTCACTCTGTGTTTAAATTGATTCTTAGTTCTCCTTGAAACTAATCTTGTTGGAATTTACTATAACCAGAGCATTGGTATCAAAGTAAAAGGTGCGAAGTAGTAGTAATTTACTCACAATCTGTCATACAATTAACCCACATTAACAAGAGTAGATGCAAACCGTCAAATGGAGAACAACAAACTGTGGCAAAACTTTAAAATATATATATTTGCTACTATAGTATAGATGTTGGGAATTAATTAGCTATCAAATGATTCAACCCTACTCAACCGATCAACCTCGTATCCAAGTCGAGAACTCAAGCAGAATCAAACTAAATCCGTTGAAAAATTAAATCATGTTACGAAGGTCATTCAAATGAGACACAATATTCTGTTAATTAATCCAAGTGTTGGGAGGAAGAGTACAATTACAATTTCCAAAAGAAACCATGTAAATAAATATTTTTTAGATTTGTAAAACCCAAAATGTCATATGAATAGCAACTTCAAAATCTTCAGATACGGGAATAGCAGTTGCAAAACCCAAATTAGCAGCTACAAAACCCATAAGTGTCAGATGAATAGCAACTACAAAGCCCAAAATTTTAAAAACCATAAGTGTCAAATTTTTAAAACCCATCAGCTTGAGATTTACCTTCACGTTGTCCGTCCATTGCGAGAACTACAGAAACGGAATGGGAGCTGCTTCTTCATGCTTGCGTAGGCTGTTTGAGTAATTAGCAACGGCGTGAAGGACCTTGATTTCGAGCTCAGGGTTTGGATTTGGGGGATTTAGGGTTGATGTGGCACACTCCCTTTATTAAAATTAAAAAAAAAAAGATAAGGAAATATAAAAAGGTGGAAATAACGAGACTGAATTGAAATCTTCCCCCACTCTAGCCATTTTGCCCTCGCTTCGTCCAACGACTGAAGCTTCAACCTCCTACAGTGAAATCGACCGTCGCTCTAGCCCTTCGACAGCTAAATCGACCGGCGCTCCAACCTCCACCTTCGATAGTAGTAAGGTGGTATAAGTATGAAGCAAATTTCTGGAAATCTAATGAAGTGAAATCTCTTGCAATTTGAATAAGTTGTTTGGTAATTGTTAAAGTGTCGATTCAGATCATATTTCAGAAATTGTTGAAGTGAAATCTCAATGTAGAATTTGTAACTGCAGAATTAATACAAACAGAATTTCGTATACATCACCTATATTTACAAAAAATCGCATATATATACTGATATAAACAATATAATTCACATTTGCAGCCCAAAGTCAGTGACCTGAATATAATTTTAGGTTCAAATTTATTTGCAGCATGTATAGTGCAAGTGAGTTTCCAAAAAATATACATACACATGCATGCTAAGAAAGATCGGAAGTGGACAGTGGATGATTCCGTCCAAATATCTCAAGAATTGAACTGACTTCAAGTTGGAAATTGTAAAAATGGAACAATTGGTTGCCTAGGAGGGGAAAAAGAAAGGGAAAAAATGGGGGAACCGGACCATATCAGTACTAATCGGTTTTGGTCGGTCTAATTTCATTTTTGAATGCTTGAAAAATAAATTGCAAGATATAGCATTTATTCTTCTTATTTCACTTCCATGCCTTTTCTTTTTAAAGTCAGTGAGTTCTTTGACAATTGATGGTTTCATAGCCAAATCCTATTACACGTTCGGCCTAAAGTTCTGCGTGCTGTTCTACATTCACCAAAGAGAGTAAAACTTGTAAATGGACCAAATAGCTAAAATCCTAGAACTTGCTACAATGCCCAACTTTGAAAGCTTAAAAGGCTAACATTTCACTGGATGAAATGGACTCTTGCTTGGCCGGCGATGGTGGAGAATCCGTCTATGGAGACCCCAACTATTCAGCGAACACGCTTAATAGTTGGGGTTTCGCACTTCTTGCTTGGCAGGAGATGTGGAGTATATATGTTGCGGGTTGCGTGGCCGGAGATATGGAGATTTGGTGGTGGGTTTCTCTATTCTTGGAGATGTGGAGATGTGGAGATATGGATATTTTGGTGGCGGGTTATCTTGCTTCCCTCTTTCTCAGATTTTTGGCTTCCTGCTTTCTTGATTAGTTTTCTTCTTTTTTTCTTTTCCTTCCCTTAATATCGGTCTAGCTGTCTTTAGTCCCCTGCCATGTCAGTTATTTTTAAATTCCTGTAAGTTATCCGTCAAATGGGTCATACTTGTAGCTTTTTCCATCATTTAACACTTGTAAGGATTTAACCAGCCAACTAGATTTTTCGTCTACCACGTAAACACGTCAATTAACGTATCCAATCCAGTGAGTAATGGACAATAACGGATTGAAGTTCAGTCGTTAACGGGACAAGTTTGAAAGTTCGATGAGTAAGTCGTGACATAGATCAAAGTTCAGTGGCCAATAAAACATTTAACTCAACTTTGTGTGTGTATCGAGTTGGGCGGAGATACATTTCTTACATTCAATTGAATTATGACATGTAATCATGTACGGATGCTGCCTCCACACTTTCAAAAAATTCTTTTTAGTTTTCACTCTTGCCCCCCACAATTAAAATTTTGAGAAATTCATCCCCACAACTCTTTTATCCTGGTTTGACCCCTGCTTGTAATAATTCTTCGAAGAAAAATAAAAAAAGAAGCATTTTGTAAAATATTGCTTCAAATGTTTTAACACCCACCCAACTTTGGCTATTGTTACTTCCCACTGACTACTCAACTCTAAGCTTTTTCACTCAATCACTCACCAGTTGCAACTAGGCAGCTACCCTTTGTTTGCTGCTATACGGAAAATCCTCTAAATGTTCATCCTTGATGTTTGTGGATCTGATGATACCAAGGTCGAAATTGTCCTATTCAATCTCTTCCAAAGCTTGAATAATTGTTTACATGGAATCACTGACGATCCATAGCCATAGAAAATTGGGGCCTTTTCTTTTGGTTGAGTGATTTAGTTTACGTAATTTTGTTTGGGTTTGGAAAGAACCGGGGAATACGTTTTGATTAAGCGATTGGGAGTCCATGATTTCATGTGTCGTCCTCGTTGGCATCTCATTTAAATTCTAGACACAGTTAATTGCCACGTATTATTTCCGCATCCACATAGGCGAAAAGTCAAACAGAATTCACCAATGAGTGAGTGCAAAAGTTTTTAGTGACCAATGAGAAGCATTCTAAAGTTCGGTGAGTAAGTCGTGACAATAGCTAAAGTTCGATGGTTGTTTAATATTTAATTATCCTATTTTCACCAAAAATATATAGACGACAGAACCATTGAAACTGCCATCGTTCGAGAAGGAAAGCGAAGATTCTCCTGATAAATATGATGATTTAGTCGTCTCATACATAATAATTATCTCAATATATAAAAGAACCAAGCCCCTCAGAGCCACTAAGGTGAATTCTCGGCTGTAAACTTCAAGGGGCCTGTGGGATTAGTCAAGTTAATTCTTATATATATAAGGAACAAGGATTATCTTTGATGGGTAAAATTGTGAATACTGCACTAGGCAACTAGATGAAGAGGAAGAATATATGACACCAAAGGCGAGGATGAATTTTTATGTCGGAGCCCCCTCTTAATGAGGAGGATTTTCCATCACTAGAGAGTTCAAGAAAACTCGAGAGCTTACTAAACATTCATGGAAGTCCGAAGATGGAGCATCAAAAGCAGTAACCGCAGCAAAAGCGACCATTACTCAATACAAATGCTCAAGAAAATTTCACCTCCAAAGAAGTGATGTTTTTATAGAAAGATTTACACACTGGACATCTCAATTTCAGATTTACAACGAAGGATTGAATCCTTGGCACCATGAAGCTGCTACAGTCATGAAGCATTCTTTGCTATTATAATAGATCAGCTTCTGAAACGGCTCCTGCTTTTGATGTTCCACCTAGTTTTGGGGGAAGGATTTTGATCTTCTAAGAGTGTTGCGTATGCTTCCGGGTCTTCTCGGACGGCACTAGAAAGTTTTCCTCATAACAGGGCATTTGGAACATAATAGTGGTAGATGCTTATCCATTCGATTGCGTGACAATCCCTTTACAGCACTGGAGTCCTGGGAAGAGCACAAAATATAGGCAAGAGTGCAAAGCTTCAGGATGGTGTATGGGGTTATATCGTCATAGGTTTTGTTTTATTTTATTTTATTATTATTTTTATTTTATTTTTTTGAGAAAAAATGGATGACTATGGATCATGTCGGTCAACATTGTCATATTCTTGAATCTTGATCTCATATCTGCCATGAAACAAAGGGAACAAAGATATAAGTTATTTCAGTTCTTCTTTTGGCATGACTGTTGAATGGCCGAGACTAACTTAGCATCTTTATTCCCTCATCGCCAACTGGGGCATGATGCTTCTAGGAATATGAATTTTAAAATGAAATAATAACAGAGAAATTTCAAAAATATAATAATTCTAATGAGGCCCAGTAATTTCACGAAATCTTTACTAGAACCTATAGAAGTAAATTAACAAAATATTCCAAGGTTGCTCAGGCAATTTCAACTTTGGGGGGGGTTGGGGGGTGCCTAATCTGATAAAACAAATCCATGTTGAACTGCACCTAACCAAGCAACGCAAAGTGAAAAACTATCTTTATTTACATAATTGACAAATTATGCAAAGAAGCACCAAAGTGGGAGAAGCCTCACGGAGAAAACCAAGTGTCAGCCGTTCGGAGTTAAAATTCTAAATTCAGTAAAGAAAAAAGCCAAAATATTAGACCCCTTAATTCCATTGAAAGCCAAACAATCAATTCATAAAACATTAACCCAAAGCCCCAGAGTGGAAAACTCTGAAGCAAATCAAGTGAGAAAAAATATTTCAGGAGGGCAGCAGCAACCACCACCTCCGATCCAAGTCTCATGAATTTTCAAAGATAACAGAGAAAATCTTTGCCATCAATCAGTATTACGTTCACATTAAAAGTACAAGATGATTCATGTTCATTCCTTCGAATTACACTTCACATGACATCTCACTATTTTTATTTATTTATTTTTTTTTTCCCATCTCCTCAAACTCCAATGGGGCAACTGCACCCACCAGACCATTTCGCTCGACTTGCCACAATGCTACTGCACGAGGAACCATCCACCTTAGTATTTCCCATCATGTTTAACAAAATAAGGTACTCATGACCGCGATCCATCTTAGTTTTCAGTCAAAAATGCCCAGCGTATATTATGAAAGCCCCAAACAGATAGCCAAGAACAAAGCTTTGACAAAATCAAGATAGTGATTGCCAGAAGTATTTTGCTTTCCAAGGTGCATACACATTCTGCAGTCCCTTCTATATGAATGTCAAGAATATGGTTTACTGAACAACTGTTCTGAAAAGGACTATACAGACATCCAAAAACCTCCAACAACTGACAAGCCCCACAATAATTGCGCAACACAAAGAAACCAAGGTAACATCTTTACCACAACTGATTGGTGTCAAACATGTTGTTCTAATTCGTTATTCATCCACACTTCACCTAAAATAACAAGCTCTTGCCTTTTTTCTAATTTTTCCACCAGAGTTCAAGAAAACTCGAGAGCGTACAAAACATGGAGGTTCAAAACCCAGATGGAGCGTAAGAAGCAGTAACCGCAGCAAAAGCGACAACCTGAAAATACCATTACTCAATACCAAGGTAACAACTTTACCACAACTGATTGGTGTCAAACATGTAATTCTAATTCGTTATTCATCCACACTGCACCTAAATAACAAGCTCTTGCCTTTTTTCTAATTTTTTCAGATAAATTGCACACAATGTCCCCACCCTATATTTGCAT